TTCTTATATCAGTCATAAAATCTATTCTTATATCAGTCATAAAATCTATTCCAGACTTCAAAATATTCTGATTCCCCTTTATTTTTAAGTTCAAGAGGGAGCCTATCTGCTTCCGCGCAGGCCAACACTTTTCTGATTATATCTAGCTCTGGTGGTGTGTTTTCTTTTTTCCAATATTGTGCATAAGTTATCCGCGCCGCAGTTAGTACATGAATAATTAAACAAAGTGTATCTTTTAAAAACCCCTTTAAACCACCGTTGCTTCAATTCTTGCTGGACTTCAAAAAAGTGCAATCCAAGGAGAATGACATTTCGGAACTGTCAACATTTTCCTTGTCAGGAAGCCGCCAAAGGGATCACACAACTTGCATCCATCCTCAATACGAGCACAACTGCCAAGCGCCAGATTTATTTATTTTTTGATCAAGCGACGAGGGCTGCAATGGCCGTTAAGCGTGAAAACTGGTCGTAAGTCCCTTTTTTCCGGTGCTGTCATAACTTCGAACCGTCACTACATCTACGGCTGTCCAGCCGAAGCTCTAGCTGTACTTAAAGAGCGAAGGGGCCATCCACACGAGTGTGCCAACAACCCACAGCGTTGTTGGCAGAGGCCTTGGGGCTGACACACAGATGTACCATATTTTTCGGAGTATAAGACGCACCTTTCCCCCCCCCCAAAAAAATGAGGGCGAAAATCTGGACGCGTCTTATACACTAAATACAGCATTTTTGGCCTAGTGAAACCTTGCCTCCTTTGCAAAAATGGATGTGGGAGACTTGCAAAGTGCAAGCAAAGTTGTACTTCACAAGCCTCCCAAAACCTTTGCATGCCCACCCTTTTTTGCAAAAAATGGCCTTTTGCAAAAAATGGCCCTTTTTTGCTCATTTTTGCGCCCCCCCAGCCCCCAGGAGCACTCTACAAGCCTCCCAAAAGCTCTGCATGCCCATTTTATTTCATTTTGTTTTTTTGCAAAAAACGAGGAGCGCAGAGGGTTTGGGAAGCCCGCAGAGTATACCAAACCTTTTTTTTTTTTAAATGTACCTCTTCAAAATCATGGTGCGTCTAATACTCCGGTGCATCTTATAGTCCGAAAAATACGGTAAGCTGGGCGGGAACGGTCTGGGCTTCTCCCACGACGGATGGCAACGGGTCATAACGTTCTAACTTCAAACCGTCACTAAAATCTACGGTTGTCCAGTTTTGTAGACAACCAAAGAAGAGCCGAGGTGGCGCAGTGGTTAGGGTGCAATACTGCAGGCCACTTCAGCTGACTGTTATCTGCAGTTCAGCGGTTC